ACCATCAGTCACAATTAAATACATGAAATAATCAGAGCATTACTTTAAAACAATATATATTACTGTAATTGTTAAGACATTTTTCAAATTAACGAGCAATTATTATTATTATTATCATTATCAAATTACACCCTTTCTAAAGAAAATTACTTCTCAGTGATACTGTCAACAAATTATTGCAGATTAGTTGAAAATTTTAAGAATTTAATTATTAATTTCTATAAATTCTATCATTGATATTGTGGGGAAGTATTTTATGAATGACGCCACGTGGCCGAGATGGCTCCAAGATGTCGGTTATGGTGCCACATAGGCAAGTCATAATTGCCGAGATGATCGCGGTATTGCCGAGGTTCAGTGCGGTAATACCGGGATTATGGAATATCATAATAAGAGACAAGAGTCCTAGATAGGAGAGAGCTCTTTGTCAGAATAAGAATAAGGCTCTTAAGAAGTTTATCCTTATCTAACTGAGAGTTCAAGATGAGTATTGTGCTTAAGTCCTATAAAGTGAGACTTCTAGGGGACTAAGACATTGTTGGCTGGCTACAAAGGTGAGGCATCCCGTAGGTCTAAGGTATGTTTTAATTTGTGCATTGAGTACTTGTGTGAGATCTTTTGAGAGATTATTTAACTGTCTTAATCGTCAGAGTGCTCCCAGGTGGAAAAACCACCTTGGTATTCTCATTTTCTTGTTGGCAAGTGATTGGCTTAATCTATTTTGTCGCATGCTCTCCAACTAAATTCCCTGTGTTGATTGTGTGGTTGAAAATCAACACCCTAGATATGTAATTATCTGGGGTAAATTACAAATACACCCCCTAAAATTTGATTAAAATCGAAATCATCCCCTGTGGTTCTGGAAATTATATTTCACCCCCTGAGATTTCTAATTTCATAACAAATCTCTCTTTTTATTAATAAATCATCAAGTCAATTAACAATTTTTAATGATATTATAAATATGTTTTAATTAATAATTTAGGTAATTTTATTATTGTATAGGAAAATAATTATGAATTTCTTTTTTTTTAGTTAATTCTGTTAAATAAAAAAATTTAACAAGGAGATATTTCTAATTTTTTAAAGGGAAAATTGGTTTAAGATCCCTCTCCCACTTTTCGTAATGAAAGAGATCCACAAAATTATTTTTTGATGTCTAAGGTCCCTAAACATATATCAGAGAAATTTGACTGGGTTTGATTCTCTTCCTCAAAACCTCATTGCCCAATTTTTCTCTCTCTAGTAGAACCTCCCAATCTCTTTCTCTTCCTTTTTTTTTTTTCTTTGTACTTTCTAGATCTCTCAACTTGATTTCATGGATCTATAAACCCACCCACCTGCATTGTTGTCTTTCGTCTAGGGTTTACGAGCCACATGCTTCGTTCGCCATTCTCGCTCTTTTGAAGCCATGCAATTGCTTGCTTCGAGCAAAGGAGCTGATTATCAACTTCGCCGTTGCTGCCAGCAGGAGCTACACCCGTTTACATATACTTTAGATGTTGAAGAAATTAATGAAGATTTTGTTCTGAAGTTTGACCTTACATCCGTTTACCGGGCATATCACATTCACACTTGCCTAGGAATCCCAGAGCAGTTTCGTGATTATTATTACAAGAATCGGTTATTGCAGCTAAATTCAGACTTGCAAATATCTTCTGCGCAACCATTTCCGAAGACTGATGTGGGTTTCCAAAATTTCCAGAGAAATTTTGAATTTCCAGAATTTCGAAGTCCAGAGAAATTTCCAAAATTTCTCTGGAGAGAAATTTCCAAAATTTCTCTGGAGAGAAATTTCTCTGAACCAATTTTCTCTGAATTTAATTTCTTAGATATAGCAAGAGATGATATTAAATTTGTGGATCTTACTTGTCCATCATCAGTACAATTGGTGCCTTCTGCCAAGAAGCATTCACAGACATCTTTCATCAGCTTCACCACAGAGAAACCAGGTTCACTAATTCTATATGTTTTAATATGTTTCTCCTCCACCAATTTCAAAACTGCATCTAAACTTGGAATATGAAAACCAGATTGCTGAGAATAGTTACAGATCAGGGAAATTTTCATATCATAAACTAAACAAATAAATAACAAAAGGAGAAAATAAAATGAAAAATTTGATTTTTTTAAAAGTATACACACAAACTGGTTCTTATATACACATAAAACACAGAGAAAATTCAAATTCCTCTAGGTTCAACCCAGAGAAAATTCAGTCCAACAACCCAGAGAAATTCTGACCAACCAAACCAGAGAATTTTGTAACTTGTTGCTGAGATCAGGCTATCAATGTTTGAGGACATAGGAAACCTTAGCAGGGATTTGATAATGGAAAGTATGTATATAATATTGTACTGTTGCCTTTCTTCCTCACCTTTGAGAAGCAAAAAAGTGAGTTGAGGTAGGGGAATTCTTATGTTAAAAAAAAAAAAAAAAGGGCAGAAAAATTTACGGTGGGAAGTTTAGGGAAGTTCAGAGAAATTCTCTGGACCAATTTTCTCTGACTTGAATTTTCTCTGGACCAATTTTCTTTGGATTGATGTTGAGGGACCTTAGACATCATGAAAATATTTGATATTCTTTCTACTATAAAATCATAATATTAGGGACCTTAAAAAAAATACTCTTTTTTTAAATTATTAAAATAATTTATATTTTAAACAAATGTCAAATATGTAATGTTTAATTTACCCAATAATCTTTTGTAACATACACTTGTTCGAAATTTTCCCCCTTTCTAATCCTGTTTACTTGTGGGGATGTCCTCAAAGGTTTGAAAGATTCAACCTGATATCATGTCAACTAAAGAAAAATTAAATGCGACATTATCGTCCAATTTAATATAGAAGATAATTTACAAATAAAAAGTGAGTAAATTATTTAAAATTCCTATTTATAAAGGATTGTTTGGGGTGTCTTAAATAAGTGTATTTTTTATTTTTTTAGACTAAAAAATTGAGGATAAAAATATGAATGTTTGGGTTAACTTTTTGACTTTTTATGAAAAAATGTGTATTAAAAAATTATATAAATTAGTGTGTAGGGGAAAATTAGAATTGGGAGTTCACTACTAGAAAAAGTACTTTTTGCGACCGTCATAAACCGTCGCAAATAATAAAAACTCAGTCGCAAAAGACCTTTTGCGACCACCCATGCGACCGCAAATGGGGGACGCGAATGTGGGGGTGGCAAATACTTTTTGCGACGGCAAAATAACAGTCGCAAATTATTTGCGACCACCTAAACTACTTATGACGACCGCTATTTTGCCGTCGCAAAAAATAAAGAAAAATAACGACCATTTTTTTACTGTCGCAAATAGTTTTCAATGACATTTATAAATAGTATAATAATAGCTTTTTAGCAATGAATTTTTTGTTGTCGCAAATAATTTTTTATTATAAATATCGTACATCAATTCTTTCAAGTACAAGCACCTAACAAAGTTTTTAAAAAATCTAGATAATATAACCAAATTTACGTAATATGCCTTTTATAAGCCATGATACAAGCACATGCCTCTACAAACTCATGTAACCAGATTTACATAATATACCTTTCATATATAGGAATATTAAGTTTATAACTTGCATTCAGGCCATAGGTAAAGCTATGTTTAAACCTTCTTCGGCGTTGTCTGGTTGTTTTATCCTTGAATTTTGATGCAATGATAGGCGAACTACAAACATACATTCCAATAAAAACCATCAATTTCATTCATCAACACTGACCTCTAATCACATCAATATGACAAAAAATGAAAATTGATTAGAAAATATATACCTTTCAGTTCCATGAATTTGCTCACGAAGTATATCACCCTCCTGCAAGTCAAGTAATCCATGTAATTATTGGTTAGATTATTATAAAATTCTCTCATTTTCTATACATCAATAATGGGCAAGTGATACAAAAGGTTATCAAAATAGAGAAATTCTATAGCTCACATCTTTAGTATTCTTTTATTACCAGAAATGAAAAATAACCTGATATGCAGAATGGAATTTTAAATTAAAAAAATCAAGGCAATGGGACGATAAATTCTAATTCTATTTACATGGGAAACAAATTCAAAGATCCAAAGAATAATAAATAAATATAGAGTAAGAAGTCAAACAATTAATAAATAAATACAAAATAAGGCGTCGAACAATCCTAAATTTTACAATGGTTTACAATATGAAAGAACTGCATGAAGTTGTAGTGTGGAAAGCCACTAAACTGATTTATTCATTGTTCTTCCTTTCACCTCACATTCCATTCTCCTTGATTAAAATCATTTTTTCTCAGTTTAAGGCAGAATTCAGGTTTTTTCTTTTGTAACCATTCTACCGGTGCAATGCTATCAATCTATCTATCTATCAATTAAAATCACATTGAAGAGCATCGCATAAATCTCAATGTTACTTGGGCCATGTTAACAATTTCACCACGGATAGCATACTCACATTTCAAAACCCGTCAATAGAAAACTTGGAGGTGAAAATGTGGACCAGCATGTAAATTCAGAATAGAAAACAGCCCACATTGCATAAAGCAGCCACATTGCCTACCAGCCACATAATATTTGAATCTGGTCACTCAATGCAAAGACAAAATTCAATAACATCATTGCACAGCCTACAAAATCTATTATACCTACAGAAATATACCACAATTAAAAGTACATGTGGAAGTTTCCAATACAACTAGACGATTATGAAAGCATCTACATTCTCATTAAAACTAAAAACAGTCAAATTAGTTGAGTTTGTGAAATTTACACGCATCTAAGTTCCAAAACCTTGCCATGGAGAACATAACAATCACAGCACAATGAAAAAATGAACCTGTACAAGTGAACCTTCAGGGGCAGACAATCTGTAAAACCTTGATGTCACATCACAGTGGGTGCTCCGATGTTTAAATTTAGTGGACACAAGGAGTTGCTCATATCTACCACAAACAATCTCACTCTGATAAGCAAAGAACCTACAATAGGGTGACAGCAGCAAATGGACGACAACAAGAAGAATAATCACTTAAGCACAGATAAGAAGGATCTAAGCACACAAGAAAAACAGAAAAAACAAAATGAGGTAATTCAATTGAAAGAAATTGATAAAGACCACAACATTCTCACAGACCATCTAAATGGAAACCAGCTTTCTTTTTAAGCATCCGCTGTTCAGCTGCTTCCTTAGATTTTACAGATTCAACCTTGGCATGTGCAAAGAAACCTGAAAGGTAAATATACCATCAGTGAGAAAAGGAAAAGCCAGCAGTTCAAATATTTGTATCCTCAACACTCCATGATATCTACAAAGTTCAATATGAGGACACATAAGAATGTATAAGGTTTATTGAAACGGTAGCAATTAATAGAAACACAACCTTCATTGAGCTTTGTGCCCCCAAGGACAAATATTTTAATAAACTTCATTATCCAGGGACAAAGATATGAAAACTAGAATTATGTCTTCAATGCACATTATATCAGAGACCAGATAAACTCCTGACTAATTTCTAAAAACTAATGCACAGATAGAAATAATAGTGAAGAAACATCACTAAGATGTGAAGATCTAGCAAAAGGAAAAACTGAACGTCCTGATGAAAGCAAAAAAAAGTTATCCTCAGTAATGATTATACATACACACACACACACACACACATATATTAATAGAAAGCGAAACCTGAAAAAAGGTGAAGTTCTACCTTGGACGAAATGTAGAATGTAGACAAATGTGGTGCATCTCCCAAGTTCACTGATATATAAGCAAACATTACAAGATAGCTTATCTGATAAGTATTGGGAAAACAGAGTAAAGACAAATTGTCAGAAGCAAATTTGGGCCATAAGTGCGTAATTATTGACAAGGATTTATTTAATTAGTTTCCAGTACATGACACATAAAGAGGAACCAATCAACATGTAATACATATACACACAGAAATTTTTTCATGACTTACTAATATATTTACAACATCAGCTGTACTTTCTCTCTTCAATTCTTCCTCAATTGAGCTCTCAGATGAAAATGACAGAGTGAGATTGCTGGATTGCACCATTGGCAGCAGCTCATCCTATCGTCATAGTTTGTTCATTATCATGCACATCTAAGTATCTGAATAATTTCATAGTGACTGATGGAGCAAAACATTATATTGAGAGAGAGAGAGAGAGAGAGAGAGAGAGAGAGAGAGAGAGAGAACTATTATATTGTACAAAACACGACAAAGAGGAGAAAAGTATAATTGCAATAAATCAAAGTACTTATTACAGTGTAGAGCTAAATGGATGCAGTCTAGAGCTAAAACATGAATGCAGTTGATTCACAAAGTTTTACAGTAGCTAGCAAGTATTCAGTTATGGTGTATTGGCATAGAAATCAAGAAGCTCTAATCAGACAAATATCAGTGCAATCCTTATGTCTTCAGCTGTAACCTGGATTCAAACTTTTAAACTGTAGGAATATCTAGACTTCAATTGATTCTATATTCACAATCCTAATCCAAATAATCACTTTCTTGACAACCTTAAACCTCCCAACCTTTAGTATTTCTGAATTGTCGTCCATGAAAGTCTACACTGCGAAACCTTAAAAACTATAATGCAATTATATTCAGAGATAGTCAAATCTTTTAAGAGTTTTGACATTAATTTTTTATCATTTCCCCTGTAAAATTTTGTGCTCAAACTAAAATAAATATAATAAACGGGATAGGAGGGGCGTGGGAGAGAAATGACATGTAAAGTAAGGAAATAGAGGAAGAGGAAGCCATTCTTAATGCATAACTAAGGGAAAGTGGAGTCACACATGATAATTTTTAATTTACATTAATATATCCATAAAAGTAACTGGAAATTCAGCTCAATTATTCTTATCCGAGAAAGATGTGAGAAAATCTTGCTAACTGTTTACTCAATTCCCCCGTTGGTGAAATTTCTAAAATCAAATTGCCTTCGGAAACACAGTCCACATACCAGTTTATAGAAGGTGAAAAAAAAATGTTGTCAACTTATCACAAACAAATATAAATTCTACTTGCAATTGGCATATATATATACATATTTAAGAACAAAGATTTTTTTGCAACTTTTGAGAAACTCATTATATGTATTTTCCCCTTCCTGAAAATCAGACTAAAATGCGACAACATATAAATCATAATGTAGATTTCAATCATAGCTAGACACAACAAACAAAATGGTACACGTCTACAACAAGTACCATCTTCTTGGTGGTCTCTGTTATTGTTTGCTACTTAAAAACATATGCAGTCACGAAAAATCAAAAACAAAAGATGTTTAGGTTTGACTATCTGACAATTTTACATTAACAAAATTGATGCAATATAAAACAAACTTACCCAAACACACAAGAAAAAAGGAATTAACTCGCAACAACTTACCGTATACAGATCCATCACCAGACTTATCCAACCTTGCCATGCACTGCAAAAAGCAAATAGAAAGACAATTTTAAATCCTAAAATGGATATTTTGAAATTATAAAAATCCATTCAAAGTTTTAATTGGTCACCTCCAAATCAATAAAGGCCTTAAGTAACCTCTAAAAAAGGCCTTAAGCAATCTGCAAATAAATTGACTTCAATTAATTCTCCTCTCTCTCTTTTTCTTTTTTTTTTTTTTTTTGATACAACCATTGGAATGAGAACAAACCTTCTGGACCTTGATGGTCTTTATCTCATCTAGAAGCCGCTTTGCTGCTTCATCACTTTTTTTTGGGGGGGGGGTCTACGCAGGTAGGAATTGTGTTTTTTGAATTATGGCATATCCATTTTGAATTGTACCACCTATAAATTACCGAATTGATCAGGCCCTCAACATATCAAATATGAAACTATATAATAATTGTTGATTCACTTAGCAATGGAGCAGCTTGTATAGTGAGATCACAATCTCAATCCCCCCAAACAAACACAGATCTATACCAATTAATGTCAAAATAACAGAAATTAAACCCATCATTTCCCATACAAACACATACAGCTCCTACAACAATTCAACCAAATTGAGACACAAATTTGACATCATACAACACAGGATCAAATTAAAAGAAAATCAAACCTGCTGGTAGAGAGCATAAAGAAGCAATGCACAGCAATACAGAGCTTGAAATCAGAATTAAACAGAGCAATATAGAAATCAACTACGACTAATGAGGCAGATAACAAACAGCAATACAAAAACAAACACAACGCATCAAAAATTCAAATTAGACTATCAATCACGAAGCCTATTTAACAGAAAATATAGCAAATTAGAATGTTTGAATCAATTCAGAAAACAAAGTTACATGAGTCACATTGAACTTCATGCGACTCAAAACGAAATTCAAAATGCAATGCACCAATCAGCTTCACCACAGAGAAACCAGGTTCACTAATTCTATATGTTTTAATATATTTCTTCTCCACCAATTTCAGAACTGCATCTAAACTTGGAATATGAAAACCAGATTGCTAAGAAGAGTTACAGATCAGGGAAATTTTCATATCATAAACTAAACAAATAAATAACAAAAGGAGAAAATAAAATAAATAATTTGATTTTTTTTAAAAGTATACACACAAACTGGTTCTTATATACACATAAAACCCAGAGAAAATTTAGTCCAACAACCCAAAGAAAATTCTGACCAACCAAACCAGAGAATTTTGTAACTTGTTGCTGAGAGCAGGCTATCAATGTTTGAGGACATAGGAAACCTTAGCAGGGATTTGATAATGGAAAGTATGTATATAATATTGTACTGTTGCCTTTCTTCCTCACCTTTGAGAAGCAAGAAAGTGAGTTGAGGTAGGGGAATTCTTATGTTCAAAAAAAAAAAAAAGGGCAGAGAAATTTACAGTGGCAAGTTTAGGGAAGTCCAGAGAAATTCTTCCCTCTGACTTGAATTTTCTCTGGACCAATTTTCTTTAGAAATTCTTCCCTCTGACTTGAATTTTCTCTGGACCAATTTTCTTTAGATTGATGTTGAGGGACCTTAGACATCATAAAAATATTTGATGTCTTTTCTACTATAAAATCATAATAATAAGAACTTTAAAAAAAATATCATTTTTTTAAATTATTAGAAATAATTTATATTTTAAACAAATCTCAAATATGTAATGTTTAATTTACCCAATAATCTTTTGTAACATACACTAGTTCGAAATTTTCCCCCTTTCTAATGCTGTTTACTTGTGGGGATGTCCTCAAAGGTTTGAAAGATTCAACCTGATATCATGTCAACTATAGAAAAATTAAATGCGACATTATCATCTAATTTAATATAAAAAATAATTTACAAATAAAAAGTGAGTGAATTATTTAAAATTCCTATTTATAAGGGGTTGTTTGGGGTGTCTTAAATAAATGTATTTTTTATCTTTTTGGACTCAAAAATATAGATGTTTAGGTTAACTTTTTGACTTTTTATAGAAAAATGTGTATTAAAAAATTATATAAATTTGTGTGTAAGGGAAAATTAGAATTGGGAGTTGTGGAGCCATAATTGTTGACTTTTGATGAATAGTGTTAACTTTTTAACTTTTTGAATAACTTTTTGACTTTTTGACTTTTTATGGACTTGTTGAACTTGGCCTAAATACTATGGTACTTCAAATCTTATTTAAGATTTTTTGAACTAATAAATCCTATTTAGTAAAACTAATAATATTATTAGTTTTGTTTAATTTTTAAAATTAAGAATATTATCAATGTTGCATAATAATGTTCTAGATAATTGTTTCACAAATTGATGGGAAAAAAATAGAGCACGAGATTAAATATTTTTGTCCTTCCACGTATTGGTTTGATTCAACTATCCAATAAAACTGAAAACATTAACAGTTTTTTTCAACTTTAAAATTGACAACATTATCAGTTTTTTCTTTTTTGAAGTTTTGCACATCAAAGTTCCATCATCATGCTCCTTTATATACACAAAATTTTCAGTTTTGCCCAAAAAAATAATTAAATTTTTTCAATTTTTTGCACTTAATTTTTTTTTTTCAATTTGAAAGTTGATGTTTTAAAGTTTTGAAAATTAAAATAAATGTCAAATCATCATGTTCATTTACAGATAATCATAAATGATGAACACTTATTGTTTAAAAAGTAATTCCGACTATTAAAAATTTAATGAGACTTGAAAGTCTAAAAAATCTTAATTAAGACTTAATGAAATATAAGTTTATAAATTAAAACTTGTGTGTAAATGTCTCATAAAATTCATATACAAAAAATACTATAAAAATAATATAGTAATAGCATTTTTAAAATTAAGTGACTTTAATGAGATTTTTTATTTGAAATAAATCAACACACATCTGCTAGTATATGAAGGGAGGACACATCAAAGTCCCAATCAAATAAGGTGTATAACGAGTAATGATACATAACTTTTATTTGAAAGTTTTAAATGAAACTTTAATAAGGTGTAAGAAAGAGCGTGTAGTGAGAGATAAAAAAAGAATTGTTGACTCCACCGTCACATAAATATTTTTTATATCATTAGAATTATAATAAAACTTTCAAATTAAAACTCTAAAATATTATTGATAACAATGACCATGACCATGATGGCAGGTGCTTCATCTTAATTTTGACAGCCAAACCTATGCATACCATATTCTTTTGGGATTTGGGGTCACTGCTGTGGTAAATACACAGCAGTGACTGTTGTGGTTCATTTTGTGGTGCATTATGGGATTATTTTTATGATCTGAACCGTTCATTTTGTAAGGTTTATTGAGTACTTCAAGCCTACCAAAATCATATTAATCGGATACCAATAACTATATGATTGATAACCAAAAAAATAAACAAGAAGTTTTTCTTTTAAAAAATAGTATAAAAATATGCAATTCGATCATATAGTTGTTGATATCCGATTAATATGATTTTTGGTAGGCTTGAAGTACTTAACAAATCCTACAAAATGAACGGTTCAGATCATAATAATAAGTCCATAATACATCACAAAATGAACCACAACAGTCACTGCTGTGTATTTACCACAGCAGTGACCCATAATCCTATTTTTTGAGGTCATATATCATATTCAATAGTAATCACTATCATTCAACGTCTAGCTGTAGACAACAAAAGATGGCTACATTGATGTCTACTATTTTTTGTCATTGCATTAAATAAATAACAACAATGATTCATCCCACTAAAAACATCACCACTAATAACACTAATGCATTAAAATTAAAAAAGAAAAAAAAAAAAAAAAAAACACAACTCCAAGACCAAAACATCACATCAATAATGACGGGACCCACTGCTACCTAATTAGTGGGAGCACTAATTAGTGCTCCCAAGCATTTTTCAATAAATAAATAAGAAATTAAGACAACTGTGTGTCCAGTATCACAAAAATTATACTCACTATCTAAATAAAGGGAAAATGGATTGTAAATTCACCTATAAGGCATTAGAATTAAGGATTGATCTTTGGAACACTAGTAGTGAGCATCACTGCCTCTTTAATATATAATTTTTTATATATATTATTGTTTTTCCTCTTTCTTGTCTCTGTGTGTGTTTTGTTTATATTTTAGAAATTCTATTTTTGAGATCTTTCAAATATATCTATATTAAATATGAAATTGTGAAGAAAAAAGAAAATTTTAAAGGTTTGCATCACAATAAGGTATAACTATTTATCATAATTTACTTTTTTTATTTTATTTTATTGACCAATAAAATTGCACTCCAGGTGTTCCGGAGTGAGGTCGGGTAGATTGCATATCATCTATTAACTGCTCAAACGGGGTTTTGGTTAAGAAAATCACATCCATAGCCAACAATCTATGGTTTCAAAATCGACATGAGCGATTTAGGTGGATTGACAGGTGAATACGAATCAGGTGAAAATAATACAGATGAAACGATTTTGTTGATCGCAATGACTAGTCATTAAAAACACATTAACTTATTTGTAGCGCATGGGTCATGTGGAGAAGATTCAACATACACTAATTGAGGCAGGGGATCCCCTCCTTCACCCTATCAAGCAAGAGAGAGGGCATAGAGTAAGATCTGGTCTCATTACTCTTTGCCCGCCCGCTGATATACACTCTTGTTATGATGCCCATGGATGTGGGTGGTAATGAATGGATGGAGAATGGCAATGCACACGACCAAATTAAATTTGTTTAGATAAATTTTAAAATTTAAAATTGGATATTGAGATGTAAAAAAAATATTTTAACTAAATAAATAAAAATCAAATTTATTAATTTTATATGTTTGTATATCTGATTTTTAGGGTTTTTTTTTTTTTTGTTATGTTATAATATTATATATAAGATATAGATAGATATTCACAACTTTCATGAAAAATATTATCTGATTTTTTGGAGAAGAGAGAAGGCAGGCAAGTTTTAATGTTTTTTTTTTTTAAATCAGTGAGAGAGATTAGGATAGAAAGATGATGAAATATTTTTGATATATTTCCATTTGAAATTCATAAATTAAAGGATAATTATTATTTCTAAAATAATAAAATAAATAAATCAGTTAATAATTTTTTTTAAATCTATTTTACAAATTGAAAAATCAATAATTTTAGAAAATTAATTAATTTGTCCTATTAAGTGATTTGAAATTTTGATAGAAATACATCAAAAAAATAGATATTTTTATATCTTTTTGAAATTCATATCTAAATTCATATCTTTTTTATTTTTGTGTGGTTTTTTTTTTCAATTTATTTTAGATAGAGTT